CAGCAGGACACAAAAACAAACTGACTGTGTTTTGGGCAACTACTGCAGAAAATAACAAAGTGTGGGGAGTTATTATCAGCAAATTCAAACATCAACAAAAGTTATTATTTCCCAGGCCAGTATTTTCCAACTATTTCAAGTTGAAGTAAACATCTTTTTTATCACCAAATTTTTGGAGTGGAATTAGGTGATGGCATCGCAGAGTCATGCTGGTATGTTTTGGCTGGAGGTGGGGCAAGGGGGGAATCAGAACATACCAGAGTTGTAATTCTCATCAACAACTTCCTATACTGTCCACTAGCACCCAAAACTCTATATCATACTGAGAATGTAATAGGAAAGCCTATGGGTTGTCTGCAAGTGAATACAGAATTTTTATACATGAAACTTGTAGCAAGGGGCTTATACTTAATCTTAAGCTACAGCTCCCAGTTTAATCCTGGGCCTTGTCCAGCTGTGTTCCCAGTTATTCAGAGAGCATCAGGACTGTTAATATGAGAGAGTATAAGAAAAAATAGAAAAAATGTACACGCAGCTCTCAATTAGCTGAAGTGATAGGGGGAGAACAGTAAATCAGATATTGCAAAGACACAATCTAGTACAAAACGTATGTGAAATAAGCTGCAAGAACATAGGGACAGGCAAGTTACATGGCTAAAAGAAGGGATGTTAAAATAATTTTCCCCAAAATGCCAGTTTACTTGCAGAACTCACTGCCACAGGGTGTCATGGAGGACAAAGCAGGGCTTAACAATGATATGAAAAATAAAAGCCATTGACGGTTATATAAGCTTGGAAAAAAATGTCAAGGCTGATCAGCCCACACTATACTTCAGAAGCCAATTATGTATCATGGGGTTTTATAGCCTTTTCTAAACACTTGTCACTGGTCACAGATGTCTTCAGAGACCCAGGGCAGGGAGACATAAATCCTTGGGCTGATACAGGTGGCTAAGTCAGGCCCTATCCCTGATATTCTGTTTCTGTGGCTTCTGGTAATGTGAGGGTCTGGCAGACACAAACAGTAGTTAGAGGATGCTACTGCCTTGGATGTGAAACTCTCCATGCAGTACACACTACCTGAAACTTGTGTTTCTATTAGGCTCTGACCCACTTAAGTATAGCTGCATGTGCTGGGAGTCAGGGCACCCTGAAAGATAGAGATGAGTGAAATTTTCCTGTAATTCTTTAAAAGCTACTTTTATGCAAGCAAGTCTTGGCAAAGCAGTTCCCACTTACACCTCACGACAAAACGATAGCTCATGAAAGCACAGATTCCCCTCCTGAAACACACACCCCATTTCATAGGGTACCTCAGCTTAAACATCTTACCCTGCAAGACCAGGAGGAGCGCATCCACCCTGGCGCAAAACAGACCTGAGGAGACTGCCTACACGCATGGGAAGAGATACTTCTTAATCCTATAGCAGAAGTATGACCCTGGATCAGAACAGTTCACTTCCCTCTGCTCCTCAGGAGCGTTTACTGAGTACACACAACGCCAGCACCTTGCCAATCTCACCCTCGGGAGTTTTTGTCACTTCCCTGTGAGTGCTTAGGGGTCATGATAAAGGCAATTTGACAGGGGGGAACTTGCTGCTTCCAGATAGATTTGTTTATTCCTTCCCCGTAGCCCTGGGGGTAACGCTGTGCGTTGCGGCAGCTCTCCTAACTCGCAGCCTGGCAGTACTGTCAGCTCCCATTCATTGTAAAGCAGGCTATTCCTCACACCTCCCTCGCTCCCCTGCTGAATGCAACGCCATCTCCGAAGCTGAGACTCTGCCCTCAGACTGGGTCTGGTGATTGATGCATAGCAGTAATTGCCAGCGTTCATCTCCGAATAGTGAAACTTCATTTCATAAAGGCTTTTTAGGGTGGGAGGTGCAGGGCAGCAATCCTGCACTCTGATGCTGTCAGAGACAAGCCAGCAGGGAGCTCATATGAACAACCTCAGCCCAACAAGTCGCTGCTGGTGAATTAAAGAGGAAAACAAGCCCAAGCACCTTTCTCAGTAGTTCAAGCTGTTCTTACCTGGAGGGTGGAGAGAAGGACTTGCAAGCCACTGGCTTCTTGTTCTGCCATGCTGCGCCCCACTCACACTCCCCTTCTAGCAGCAGACACAATGCAGCTAGAAAGCAAAGCTGCCAACTTGCCTTGCTGTTGCCCCTGTGCTGTTTAAGAAACGAAGAAGCTAAGCACAGATCCCCAGACACATGCACGTTGCTACCACCGATAATCACAGCAATGCAACTCTAGACCTCAGCAGGAGATAAATGTACCCCCTCCCTCCGAGCTCTCCCACTGTGACGAGAAGATTAATTCCTATATAAAGAATCCTGGGGATTAAGTAAAGTGCTCAGGAAAGGTCTGGGTGCTTGGTGTGCAGCAGGGGGAGTGTGGGGAGGGTGGCAATAGCAACAAGAAAGCAGAAGAGCTACAAACCTCAAAGAAAGCCAGGGAGAAGGGAGGGAGCGCACTGGCTGCCTGACAGGCATTCCCAGCTGACCTGCTGATCCTTTCCAGACCCCGCGTGGACTCGTCTCTGCTTGACTCCGTTCCAGTGAAATCGGAGACATGGCAAAGGGAGAGTGAGCAAGAGAGATGCCCTCAGTCTCAACGAGCACTGACAGTGAACGGAAGATACACACGCTATGGGGGACAGATGGAGCAAACTCGCTGAGGCTCACCAGCACTTTTTGGCTTGCTGGCCTGGCCACTTCTACAGTGTCACAGCCGGGAAGGCTACACGCAGCACCCCACAACGCGAACCGGAGGGCTGAGCACACACCGAGGGGCATCTCTGCTGCTGCGCAGCAAAGGCCAGGGAGCAAAGCAAAGGACCAGAGACCTGCTTGCCTCACAGTCTCCTTCTGCAAGGTGATTCCCCAGTGCTGTTAGGGGGATAGTTTGCTCCAGGGGCTATTGCAGTGATTCATGTACCCATTCGTAACCCAGAGCCTAATTCTCTCCCTGCAGTACCAACTACCCTGCAGCGCAATTCTAGTTGTAGATTAAATTCCTAGGAGGGCACAGAGTGTGCATTTCTCTTCAGCTGAATGATATCAAAGGACTTAATAAACAAGATGCAGCAGGTAGATGTTGAGCAGAGGGCTAGATAAGGATTTTCCATGCAAAAATGTTAATTAATCCAATGCAAAAAATTTTTCAGGGATGCAGTGACTTCGTTTCACCTTTCCTAATGCCAGAACGGCACTTTTAGTCCGGAGAGACATCACTCCAGGATGGTCCATAGGCTGACAGTGGAGATAGTTACTTGATAAGCAGAAGATAAGATCTAACCTTCATCTTTCTAATTTAGGGACATTAATTTCAGTCTTTTAATTCTCAAGTGTGTGCATTATTCTGGTGTGGGTCTTTTTAGCCCCTCTAGTCACAGCTCTTCCACTTTGAATAAACAATTAAATATTTTTGAGGCAGTAACATGAACCTTTGTCTCTAGGCACAAGGCAGACGCTTACAGAACTCAGTACCAGAAAGCGACATACTAGATAGTCAATGTACACACACTTTTTTTTGATGATATCGATGAAGCAGTCGTTGGTGCTAAAACTCTAACTGCTCTAATAGAAGCAGTTAAATGAAAAATAAACCACTCGATGCTTGACAAGGCTCTTGACAATCTTTACATCCCTAGAACCTTCACTGATTAAGTGTTTTTGCCCCACGTTAAACCAGATCCTCCCCATCTCAGCCCAGCAATGTGTGGACAAGTGAGGCAAGCACAACATTCCTTGCACGAGCCAGCTGGGCCCCAGGATGGCATGACCAAGTTATAAAATAAACCAGATTGAAATAGCTTTCACATGTCTCCAAGAGTTAAAACACTTGATGAGTGACTTCCAGGCAAGGCTCTGGAGTTTCTTTTACATCAGCAGGACTTAATAAAATCTAATAATAGTTCTTTATATAAGGAGGGGGAGAACCAAAGGAATGAGAAGAGAGGACCAAAGGAACAGTATCCTCCAGTGGGCTGGGAAGGAGGAAGGTGGTAATAGGTTTTATGAGCAGTGCTAGCACACTAAGTCTTAGGCAAATTAATGCATTAACGGAAAAATGACTTAAGAGCTAATTAGAAGCAGTTTAAAGGAGCTCTTCTGAATTGTCTCTGTGTTCTCTTTCTTGTGACAATTGTACCTGTCAGTAGAGCTATGTAGAAGTACTAATTTCCCCCATGTGAATTGTCAGAAGGCAGTGAGGACTGATAGATGTGCACAGACCCTCGCTGCGGGTAGTCTGGATCCCCTGGATCCCCCCGGTACATCCCACAATCAGAACCCCCTACCCCTCCTGCACTACACCAGCTTCGTGATTATCGCACAATGATCGCTGCTCCCTGTTGTATCATAACAGGCTTGATGAATATTCAGCTTGTTGCCCTACCTAGAGCACAGCAGTGGCCGCTAGCGTAGGACCCCATCTTCCCTAAAGCCCTTACCACAGCTCAATGATCTGATCCTTCTTTTCTGCGCAGAGAAAAATTGTTTAGAAACAATTGCCAAAATTTCACTGCAAATATCTCAGACTGGGAGGGAGAGACCACCAACAGGAAAGCTTGGGGGGTGGGGGGGGAAATATCTTCTATTCTTTAAAATAGGTAGTTATCTTGATTGTGCTCAGAGATCAGAAGAAAGCTAATGGCCCTGCATCATAGAACAGAAAGCTCTGGAACTTGCATTGGATTTGAAGACAAGATGCAATGAGCAGGATAATTAGCAATCCAAAAAAACTTACAAAAGACCCCAAAAGTGGCAGTGACGCTTACACGGATGTAAGATTACATCAAAACTGCTTGAAATCAAATTCTAAGCTGATAAACTGTAGGTCTCAGAGTCCTCTAATTATTTATCATTTCATAGCCACTATTTCTGTCTGGATTTTTGTAAGAATTTCCAAATTTGTCATTAGTTTCTAAGAATAGGGGGTCCCCTATCTCAGCATACAAAGGCTGAATAAATTAGGAGGCCTGCACACTGATAAATGCCCCCAGTAGAGTGTACACATTTTCCCTTCCATTCATATTACACTGTCAATTGAGTTTGAAGACTAGCTCGTTAATGTTTGTATTGATGTCACTGTTGTTTCCCCTGCGTCCTTAGGTCTATGCAATCCTTAAACAAAATGAAAATCAATCTATCTCATGACTGCAGCTTCCTACTAGTGCCAAAGTTAATGTTCTCCAGGGGAGGACAGAGGGGATTACAAGCACAAAGGCAGGAGCCCAGGGCTCTCTATGGCTGCTGCACAAACTCAGGCCAGTAATTTTCTCCTTTTGAGCTCCGTGGTCAGACACAGAAACAAATTAGAAATATCATTTGATCCCCAGTAGATACAAGTACACAATTCTAGCCCATAGTAAAGGTGAGATAATTCAGGATCATTTTACCTACATTAAAAGAGCACTCAATCCAATTATTTCAGTTTTCATGAGTGTATGTAGAAGCCATTACCATGGATCAGCTGATACTGAGAAAAATCTTAACCACAGAACCTTGTTTCTGTGCCTAAATCTACAGAGATGCCATAAAGCTATAAAATTTGCAGGCTTGCACTCAGAAACATTATACAGAAATATAAATGCTTCCAGCTGTAGTATTGCATTAGAATGATACAAATTTTAAAATCTCCCTGGGTGAGACAATTTGGGAATTTTCCTTGTGAACAAAGGGATGAGAAGAAGATAGAATTCATCTACCAGGAGCCTAGCAACCATAATATCATTGATCTTTAAATTAAAAGTGGGAAACCCACACAAGAATTTAATGTATTGCAACAAAATTTTCCTAAACTATTTTCACATACCCACTGGTTCCATCTCCGCCAAACCAGCATTCAGCATGTTCTTATCTGAACCCCCACCAAATCACATTTGGAAGTAATTCACAGGCTGAGGCAGAATTAGACCAAAAAAGACTTAAACACAGCAACT